GTCGTCAGACGCACAATTAGTATTAGAGAAAACTCTCGAGTCGAGAAGGGAGACAGAAAATTTGAAAATAGTACTGAACCTAAAAAGTGTCTACCGACAAAAACTGATCGCCAATCAAACGAGATTCATTATTATTATTATCGCCACTATCAATAAGGCTCTGTATAAAACATACCGAGATCATAATTGACGTTTCCCAAACATGGTCAACAGTTTTAACATTACTACTGTACAACGATAAATCAGCAGAGGGAGGCATAATATACACAACACTAAGAAAGGGCAGAAGGTTGCTTATGTACCGAAATGCGGACAAATAATAGTCCATTATTTAAAACACAAGTAGGCATAAATGTAGGCCGTATAGCATTCTTCACTGCAATCAAAGCCCCACCTCCGCGGGAGAAATTACTACACACGTCTATCACATGTTTAAATAATAAATCCAGAAAAATTGAGTTTAGCATTACTTGAACTCTTAATTCTGAACAAAATTGGTATGCGAGTCATACCATAAGTGTAGTCATACATATCACGTGATTTGATCTCGACTGTTTCCCTGGTAAAGAAAATCAACCAATTATTTTGTTCATTATATTGCCAAATAATAATCCAACACTTTCGAGTATGGCAGAAAAGCTCATTTTTCATGAACCCGCTCTATCCTAGAACCCTAGCGTCAAATGTCCACTAAGCCACGCCAATTTTAGGTTATGAGGCCGATCATTTGTATTATATTGGTGTCTTTGGGTCGATTCTATCGTTGATAAAATATCGATATTCTAAATGTTGTGGGCAGCCTTTCAAGTTTACTACTAGCCCGGGAGCTTATCCATTCCGTTCCTACACACGTGCCCCCCCCCCTATATAGACAAAAGTAACCCCAAAGTATTCAGAGGTAATTTTGAAAATTTGTTTTTTTTTTGTCCAAAGTTAAATAGCATCTCTATCGAATAGAATAAAAATTTGAATGTTGCCTTATATTGTAAAATAACTTAAATGAAAACGTCTACAAAAAGCAAACTATAAAAACGCAATTATTCTAAGAGAAAATATGTGTCTTATCCTTAATCAATCGCCTTGTGCATATAATTAACAAATCGAATAATTAACATTACTTTTAACTTATGTGCTAACGAATGTATGAAACCCATTTGAAAATTAAGACAGTAAGTCTTCTTAACTGGAAAGCCCGCGCGATTCCTGTGGGAAAGTCCTGTCGGTTTATACTATTATACATTTTTTAATCATTTACACTAGTATTGTGTGTGTGTGTCGTTTCAGTGACATTGGGCAAATATATATGTCACGTACCGTCGCCGAGACCGGAAATCGGACACACGGCTAATGTAGTACAAATGCATCGGGGATACCATAAAAGAACTATAATACCCACCGTGGTGATTATAAAAATATGACGATGGTCTCCGTTAAATGAATTCGGAATTCAGACGGGAAACGTTTAATTTATTACACGGATTGCTTGGCGTGCAGGTACACGAATACCGATACTGCGGATGATGCGTAATATCTGTGTTAAGAATGTCTGCTGAACATACCTGCGGCGGCCCGTCGATTAGCATCCCATTTGGGTTCAAAAGCTATATATTTTACCGGCCAAACGCGCGTCGCATAGCACAGCTCATATACATAATATTATCAGAGATAGGTATGTAAACGAATTCATCGGCCGACAAAATTCTGCCGGTCGGCAAACGCACAAAATAGTTTTTTATTTATTTAATTTTTTTCTTCAGCGCACACTCCGTACATTCCGATCGTCTGCCAGCGAGCCGTCCGTGGTGGTCAGATTAAAAAACTTATATGTTGCAGTGAAAATAAAAATAAAAATGTCCATACAACACAAAACTATAATTTCGCTGCGGGTTAGAGGTTAGTATCTGACATTAATTCTTGACAATCAACCGTAACAGAAACAAATATTAGATTAAAAATCAAATGAGAAGTGTATTTCGAGATTGATGTCAACTCTCCTAGAAGATTTACATTGCTATTCCGCAGAGGTAGCAAGCCTGTAGTTTTATACTGACAAAATATTATGTAGTACATAAAATTGAGTAAAAAGGTATTAATAAATAGACTGAAAGGTATTATTATTTGTTTTTTTTTTAATTTAAATCTATTGGAAAAGCTTGCTACCTAATTAAAAAGTTAGGTACCACGGTGCCTTTGTTCCTCCACTACGTGTTCAAAGATTACACATCTTACATTGAATTAACGATGTTTATAAAAAAACTAATGAAGAGTTATATATATATATATTAAAACTAAATTAGCTCGGAAAGTTCTGTTTTCGCTATAACCCCTTCACGTGGTATTAATCTTAAATAAAAACGTAAAACATAAATTTCAATACTCGACCTAATTTATAAATTATTATACCCGATAGGCGATAGTGATTCCAATTTATAATTTGTTTGTTAGCTTCTCATTGTCTATCTTTCACATAACTTGCATTTAATACACATCATCATAGAGCCACATTTTAAATGAATATATTTTATTACATTGGATTACAATAAGGGGCAATGAATTATGAACCTATTCCGAATAAAGTATATAACTGTTAATACCATTGAATTAGCAAACATACACTAGAAGAATATGATATATTGTTATAAAGTATAATTCTGGCTATTAAACGATTGCGCGTACAAGAACCCTGGAAGATCTATGATGGCTATTTAATTGTGTACGGCTTGCATAAGTCAAACTAAACTTACTAAACTCACTCTATGTACTATCTACGTTAATAATTATTAAAAAAAAAAAAAAAACGGTAGGATATCGCAGCCATCAGTTATAAGTAATAGTATAACGAGCCGACAAAATTATAGGGCCAAAACCGGTCGACGATAAAGTATATGTAGTACGAATTATTGTTTTGCAGTTTCGCAGTCTATAGGTATCTAATTTCCTAAACTATAGTGGTAAGCAGTACACGCGTATGTTAAATAAATAATAATCATATATATTATAATGATATGCTGTAGTAGAAGACCGTATAGAAACGTTTTTGCGTGATTTCATTGATCGTTTCCAGCCAAAGCGCGGTGTCAGCTCATGAATCCGACTTAAGACCGCAATGCGTTTTTGGCTGCTAGCCTATAATAATCGGCAGACGATCAATAACACACTTAGAGAGAGGAATCCGCAAGAAACAATTTGGGTGAACCGATATAGAGCCGGGCGAGAAATAAGAAAAACCGAGAGCGTCAGACTGACGGCGGCAAACACGGCATACCAATATCGGAGGCGAAATTTTTGAAAGGTGTATCATTTAATATAATAACAATGTACAAGAAACGCTTTCCTAGCGCACAATAGTCAAATTATTATTGGTTGTTGTATAGGACACGCTGTATACAACAACGCACAAGCGCCGTCACTTTGCGGCCAACCCGTGTGAAATATCGTAAGCATTTCATACCAACACCGTCTTGGCTACTTGAGACGTTTCAACAGGTCTTAGGTACTGACGCTTAAAAATATTCAACAACCCCCGACCGTTTAGCTTTAACATCTACTGCTACGGTGAAACCCCTAGGGACCAGTATGTGTTCTACGAATGGGAAACGAGCGCATCGTTTACACTGACAAACGGAACAAAAGAGGAAATTTGTTTTCACTTATCATAATGACACTATGATACTCTCTATAATCTCTCCTTCCAATTGACACTCTCGGTGTAAAAACCGCGGCAAAAGAGGTAAAAATGTATAAGTTATTTTAATTGTATACATTTTTGGGTGTAAAACTGGCTACATCCACTTTGCGCACGTTAACCTTAAAAACAACTATGGACCCTCTTGTACAGGTGCAATTTTTAAAATCTCATAAATTGGAAACCAATTAAGTTTAGTTTTTGTAAAAATAAAGTTTAACCGTTTTGGAACTAGACAAATAATCTTAGATTAATAAATAAAAAAAACGTAAAGATGTAATTTTTGCACGTCATATTGGACTTGCGTAAATAAACTATTTACAACTGGCAACGACAAAATTTAATTGTTAAGCTTTTATTCGATGAAAAGTGAAATTAATTTTTTATTTAATAAAACGTAATAGGTACTCATATTATGTAAAACATAGTCTATAGTAATTTAGGGCCAAAGCTCCTACGGCTCACTTTAATACTTCATTATATTATCCCCTCATGCAAAATTCCTGCGTGCACGCCACTGTTTAGTATTTAACCCTTTGATTATAATATTATGTTGGCAACAAATATTTCATATTTTGTTGTTTTTGGGCGGATATGACTATGTAAAACATATTGCGCATAAGTTCGTCGTATAAACAACTATGCCGACGGGAGAATAGTAGGGCGGCGAGATCTAGATGGAAGATTAAGAAATATTATGTACATGTTTTTTTATGGAAAGGTCGAGTTCTAAATATAGTTGATCTAAATGAAACCGCAATACTAAACATAAAATGCATATTATATAATATTCAATATATATATATATATATATATATATATATAATTTATATTAACATTTGCATTTTAAAAAGTTACTCCTCCCTGGCTTCTGACTGAAAAAAAATAAAATACAAAAACTTTAAACTTATATAAATTCTGATTTTTGAATATCGCCATCATTGGAAATAAAAAACTTGTACATTATACCTCTGTCAGCGCGCTCTTTAGGAGTTTTGCTAGTTTTCAGCTTCGGTGCAAAGTCAAGAAGGTATAAATTGCTTTATTGGTATGATAAGTTTTTGCAAACTGCCTCGGGGACAAGGGAAGACAAGATAAGAACCGTGGGCAACAACAAAAAAAAACGACGGAATAGTCCCGCCGGCCTCACGCAAACATGCTATTATCAAAGGTGCCGCTATGTCGTGTTCCCGTGAACTGCCGCCGTGTACGTTGGCCGCTCGGTAGTAGCGGGTTTTGCGCGCACGAGGACCGGTTCCCCCGTCCGTGGTCGCGGTCGCGGTCTCCCGGCGGCCACAGTTTCCGTGCGCCGAAGAACCGGCCGCCGCGTCGTCCCGCCGGTAGTTCGCCGCCGTCCGTATGCGTAGTGTGTATCCACGGGTCTACGCGTAAGTACGCGCCGCACAAGCGCACAGTGTAGTTCGTCGCGTTCAAAAAAACATCCGATCGGTTTCCGGTTTTGTTTTATTTTTCCCGATCAATGCACATTCGTCAAAGTAAATCGACGAAATAAATCGGTTTCTATTCGATCACCATAGCTGTTATTGTTTTACGCGCGTGTCATGTGCAACCGGTGACGGCCGTTCGAGAACTTATTGTCGACGACACGATGCACGTTACCGCGTTACCCCCGAGTACCTGAGTAACCGGCACTCGATTGCTTACACTTTATTTGGCCCACTCGAACGCTATAAATTAGGGCAAAGAAACAAAATAAGCAGCTACCAACTCAGCCAGTACCGGTGAGTTATATTTAAAAAAAATAGAAATACATAATGTTTGCGACCGTCGTTTTTGCTGCTTCAACCCCTTTTTTTTTGTATACACTTATTATGTACTAAGACGTAACGATTTTCAAGTGACTTTTCACTACTGAAACACGCGTGCGGAATAACACCAGTAGTTTTGCATGTAAATCATCAGCCGCAATTAAATCAACGCAACAAACATTTGCTGTATCGTTATTGTTAAATTATTAGTCTAGTTTCAAATTGTGCAACACTACTTTGGGGTGTATATTTAAATAAATAATATTTACACGGTCTGTACGAAACAAGACGCAAACTCTTTGGTTCGAGAGACGCGCTCGTTCGAATAAAATATCATAAAATTAAATACTGTTACTATTAAATACTAATATTATTAAGTATCATTATCATTATTATTATTATTATTATTGGTTACTAATAGGCACACGCACACACGCGGTTAATTGGCGTGTTACTTTTACCGTGTGCTGCGGCCGGCGACGACTACGCGCATTCCGTTACACGTCTCGGTACGTATCATATACATATATACATATATGTCTATAGCTGTATTAATGCACGGCCATATACCTCTCTCCGTGTGCCGACGTTGTCCGAATAACACGGATAATGGATAATATATATATATTTTCATTATCGGCAGAACACACGGAACCGCGGTGCGGAAGAGTTATGGCACGGGTTTTATGATCTATGTGATTTACGCTTTGCCGGCCGGTTAATTGACTGCGACGGACGGTTTCATTGAACATAAACGCTCGATCGTCGGTCTTCCTATACATCTTAACCGTTTACGGCGCATTGCTTTTGTCTAATGGCCCTCTTGTCCCTTCCGCGTCCTCGAAATCGTACACTTGACAGTAAACTTACAGGTACAAATTACGGATGCTCGCTAGACGATACGGCGCAGGATAATATAGTTATTGGCCAGACTTGGAAAAAGAAGTATTACCGTGCTTAATTGAAAGTTATAATATTTTCCGTAACCGGGGCAAGTGAATGCACAAGTTAAGCAAAAGTTCGTAATCTAGCGATATACGTGTTTATATATTAACGAATGACAATCGATCGTAAAGCGTTAACGGAAAATCGTGGCATTTCCGCACAGAGTCTGATTAGGACCGGTAAACCGACTGCTGTCCGTTATTCTACGGTACCATCGTAGAAGTTAAATAAAAAAAAATGCCAAAAATGTTTAGCTTATTTGTTTTTGCTTATTCTGCGGTTTTGTTGGGTCGATGGGATGTCCCACGGGATCACAATAATCATCACGGCCGTCTTCCTGCGGGGCGCGACTACCGACCGTGTAGTATATTATTTAGATCGTTTTTCATCCAGTTGATCGATGATCGATCGTCGGGCGCACGCAATAATGGGACCTACCAATATAATCCACTATACAGATACTGTGCAAAGCATAATAATACCCTTGGATCGCCGATAATATGTAATAAGTCGTCACGGCGTCGTGTGCGGATTCTAAAAAACGAGTTTCCAAACAGTTTGCCAAACTTAATTTCTCCCACCGACCATTACCGCCGCCGCGGGACGTGCCGTTGTCTCTTCGCGCGCGAAGGGTGCGTCGTGGGAAAATTCTGTGAATGTGTGTGTGTGTGTTTTAATAGCTATATACACATATAGTATTATGTCGGCATTGTGATTGTGTGTGAGTATGTGTATGTGTGTGCGCATAGAGTCGATGCCCCGTCTGTGGTCACCTCTCTTCCGGCCCGCGCCCGGATTACGGGTTGTGTAGAATGCCGTTGGGTCAAGGCTATAAGATGCTCCCGCTCGCGCGCGCTGCTGCTGCGGTGATCGCCCATCATATGGACTCGCAAGCCCCCCCGACACCACGCTTTCGTAGGCCAATAATTCTCCCACCGCGGCCGATCCGTCTTCGCGGTTGTGTGCCGCCTGACCTAAATCAACCGTCCGGGTCCGCCGCTCGAGGCGCATAGGTGCGCGCTGATGGAAAAAAAAATAATAAGTAGAAGAGGAATAAAAAATAAAAAATTAATAATAATAACGCGGATACATACGAGCTGTGTGTGTCCGTCTGCGGGCCCAGAGACCTGCGGAAATTCGCTATATACCGGATTCGTTTCCCAAATGGCATATTAGTCATAGGCGCGTGCACGCAGACACACACTTGCCTACGCCCCGCGCGCAAAGCGTACCCGACGCCGCGCAAGCCCGTAACGCGCGCACCGAAAATATTATCATTACATTCATTAACCATATCGTTGTTATCATTATTAATATTATGCGCGTGCCAGTTGTTTTCAGAGCATAAACAAGTACGATGTACGGCTGTCCCGGGTCACAGGCACACCACGTTGGCCTAGGGTCGATTCGAGAAAAAAAACATTTTTATTTTTATACTCCCACGTCGACACTTTTATTTATAAAAAAAATTGATGTGCCGTGAAAGACGAGCTGACGAAATCTGATTGGCCGGACCGTCGCGCGCTTTACCCGGCCGGTAAGTTATCACGGACGTGAGCCTAACCGAGAAATAATTTAAGGGAAAAACGTGTATACGTGCACCGTCCGTGTATAATTTTTTAATTAAAAGGTTCGAGTACAAAACGCAGCCAAGGTATTTTCAGATTTCGGTCGAAAAAAATGTGGTTGTCTCCCGTTTAATCCGGTTAGGACATCGGACAGGTTTGATAATGGCAGCCCCGGGGCCTCGTCTTCTCCTCCTCGCACCGCGCGTACACACCTCACAACGTGTCCCCCGCATCTCCGGATGGGCGGCACGCAGCATAGTCGGATGGTCGGTCGACAGTATAATCCGAGTAATCCATATTATAATAGCATAAATAGTCGATTACACATAATAATAATAATGGCAGCACGCGCACGCCACCGCCAGAGACCCAAACACTTTAGGCTGAGCGCCGGTCGGTCATTTGATATTCATAACAGGTCCGGTCGCAGATAAATATCGTTTCAGGGAATGCGCGGAATTCGACCAGCAACTCGATGGCTTTCCAAAATGCATTTCGATAGTGTGTACACAAACACGTGACGTTATTATTGGCACACGTCGACTAGGAAACTTACACAAGTCGGCTTATATAAAATTCGAGCCGACCGGCCATTGTCACCGGGGACTAGGGCAAGGAGAGACCGTTTTTCCCACCATAGACACTCGAATCTAGGAACCTATAACATTGTTTGTACGTGTTGCTGTATAATATAAATAAAATATATTCTACAAGTCGAAGGAGACGCGGTATCGCACGATTTTTCGCCTTAACGCGCGGATGTATGTGTATAATATTAACGCTAACGCGTTGTCGCGGCGTGACGGCAATGTTAAAGTATTAAATGTATAATACAATAACATATATGTATATATATATATATATATATATATATATATATATATATATATATATACAGACACACGAGTGAGAAACGCAAAAAGAAAATAATTATTAAAATCAGGCCGAAGACGAATGTAACACACAGTGATGAAGGAGAACTCCCCGCGAACAATACAAGAATATTCGCCTATAGTACACACTACGCATAATAATATCGACTGTCGTATCTAAATTATCAATATATACCTAAATATAGATATATATCAGCCGATGTAGGTTTATACAAATGATAATAATATGTATACAGACGTCGATTCACGACCGATGAGATACCACCCGCCGGTAAGTAGGTCGATACCGTACGGTGTTCAATGTACACACTCCATTGATACGTTGTCGCCGCGGTAATCCGATTAATAACAACGAAATGAAAACGTTTGTCGTCGACTAATATAATATAAAAAAAAATAATAACCCGTTCGGTATATACCTTAAAAAAGTTCCGTACGTGCAGCTAACGTCCATATTATACCTACCTACCTATTTTCTCTAGTCTTTTTTCTTTTTCCCTTTATTTATTTATTTATTTTTTATACATTAGATAAATACCATTCATTGATGCACATACAGCATTATGGCGACACGCCTTGTGAAGAGTAACTCGTTTCTTCCACGCACGCCGTCGTTTTTCCGAGAACCTCTAGCCTGTTCAATCATTTATCCGGCGTTGGTATATAATAATATAATATACGGCAGTCTCGAAACGGAAACCAGTTCTACTCTTTTTTTTCTCTCTACTCCTCTACTTCTTTTTTTTATTACCCATGTATATTGTCTACATCTAGTGGACGTCGTCTGCGGAGCTAGACGCGTACTTACTCTTCGGATACCTATTCGTATATTTATTATTATTATATACCTATGTATAACTTACCGACCTACGGGTAGTCCGACTTCTAGCCGAGTCTGTTGACAGCGTCTACGGTCCATACCTTAGTCGGATCACGCCAACTCCGAAGAATTCGTGATAGCAATAATATTACTAGGTACCTACGATAACGGTGTCGTGCGATAATAATACTATTATTATAATAATACAAACAACACATTGTACCGCTTTTAAAGTTGATTTGACGGCCGCCGAGGTTCCGGAGACTCGGGAAAATTAAATGGAATCAACAGCTTACAACAACGTAACTGAACGTCCGAATCGTATAAATTGGAATAGTTATAACCTTAGATATTTACAATAGGAAAATAAACCACAAGGAAAGGAATCTATGATCCATTCCCCTTAAAAACAGAAAACATACAAAAAAAAATTTATTTTTCAACTTAACTAAACGGTGTGCTATAACATAAAAAAAAGGTAGAATTATTTTGAAATTGTTACAGACATAGTACTATCGATAAACGTTGACATCCAAAAAAATATTATACACCCTCGTGGAAACTTTTTTATTTCGCTTTTATAGGGCTTAAATTCTGAAAATTAGACCGAAATTAGTTGTAGTGTAGGACTACAATATTGAATATAATTGTCTCAAAAATCTGTAGTCAAACTTTTCTAGTAAACTCCCAAAAAAAAAAGGGAAATTACACTTTGATCGTAGTAAATTACTATGTTGCTTTGTCAGT